AATTATTTAAAAATAATGATAATTTTTCATATTAATAAGTAATTGTTGACTAATAGCAATGAATAGTCGAGCGAACTAATAAGGCATTTTGACACAAGAACCAAAATGTGGATGTTTTGAAAGGGTTTTTTTTTTGTATTTTACTCAATGGAGTCCAACCATTCCTTGACAATAATGAACCATAAAGAAAAGCAAATACAATGAAATTTGGAATGGAAATGCAAGGACAAGGGCCTCAAATGTGAAAGTAAGAATTTTATTGCATAAACATGTGAGAGAGAATATAGTCCACATTACAGTTATACATTCTTGACAAAAAGAAAAGTTCTAAAGGCGAAAAAGAAAATGAGGTGAGCAAAAATCAACCATCACAAAGAGCAGCTAAGTATTTCCAATGAATCATCACTTCCAATGGTTGGCAACAATGTCAGCCAAATCCACAACCCTTTGAGAGTAACCCCACTCATTGTCGTACCAAGCAATCACCTTAACCATGTCATCCCCCATGACCATGGTGAGTGATGCATCAACGGTTGAGGACACATCAGAGCACCTGAAGTCGACCGAAACAAGGGGTTCATCACATACAGAAAGGATGCCATTGAGCTCTTTCTCAGCACTGTCTCTGAAAGCAGCGTTCACCTCTTCAGCGAAGGTCTTTTTTGAGACCTGGACGACTAGGTCGACAACTGAGACATTTGGTGTTGGTACACGCAAAGCAATGCCATTGAGTTTGCCTTTGAGAGTGGGGAGTACAAGAGCCACAGCCTTTGCTGCACCAGTTGAGGTAGGAACAATATTGAGAGCTGCAGCACGAGCACGCCTGAGGTCACGGTGGCTAGCATCAAGTAGCCTCTGGTCACCAGTGTATGAGTGAGTTGTAGTCATAGTGCCCTTGATGATACCTGCATTGTTAATTGTATGTGATCAACATGATCTCAGTGAATTTCTGCTTCTTCACAATTACAAAATTTAGGCTGGAGACCAGGTGTATTATAACTAGTTAAAAAACGTTATCTGTCAATTGTCATTCATAGCATTTAATTCAAACCAATTTACATCATACGCATATATGGACATCATGCTTAAACAGTTTAGTAAATGATTGAAAAAAACCAGGGCAAATTTAGAAATTTGTAGGCACGGGGACATCATAGTTAAAGGAATTACCAAACTTCTGGTCCAGAACCTTGACGAAGGGAGCAAGGCAGTTGGTGGTGCAAGAAGCATTGCTGATAATGGGCTCATCTGGGTTGTAGCTGTCAACATTCACTCCAACAACATAAGTCGGGATGTCACCTTTTCCAGGGGCAGTGATGAGCACTTTCTTGGCTCCTGCCTGTATGTGCTTACCTGCACCATCTCTGTCGACGAACACACCAGTTCCTTCGATCACCAAGTCTATCCCCAAGTCCCTACATCAACATTAATTATCAGTTTGAATGAAAACCAAACAAGTGTTAGCAAATGTTACTTCTGTACAAAAATTGATGCATTTAAAAATGAAACTAGAAATATAAGAAACAGAAATTCTTACTTCCACGGGAGGTTGGCGGGGTTACGGTTAGAAACGACCTTGATGGCCTTGCCATCAACAGAGATGGTATCATCTCCGACAGGCTTGACATCCGCGTCAAAGATGCCAAGGGTAGAGTCATACTTGAGAAGGTGAGAAGCCTGCTTAACACCACCAGTGTCATTAATGGCAATGACATCAAGCGGGGAGTCCTTACGGCCATGCCAGCACCTCAAGAAGTTCCTGCCAATCCTACCAAATCCATTTATCGCGACCTTTAACTTTGCCTCTACCACCCCTTTCCTGTATCCGCCATTGTTGCTTCCCAACTACAAACAAGATTATGGGTCCAAGCGCATATAAGTGAAAGAAAAAACGGGGTAATTCATTTGTAACTTGTAATTTTAACCAGAAGTCTAAGGATATTATTTGATCAAGAATATTATACATAGCATGAACCAAAGTTGCAAGGCACATAAAATTCATAAACAGGAATGAATTTTTCTTCCACAAACTGTATGGTGTCATATATCAAGAGATAATCTAAAGATGTCCTTTTGGGCTTAAAGTTATACAACAACTTTTGCTCTTCCACTAATTGTAGACTAGAAAGGATGTTTGCAAGTCAGGTGAGGAAGTAAATTATAGTCCAAGGACAGTCATGAACTTGGTATTGTATCATGGTGATTTCGGGTTCTTATAACTATCTTGACTGCCATTTGTATATCAGTACGAGTACAATAAAATGCTATATATAGTGGAGAAAGTGCTTCTCCCTCAAACTTAATTAGTCCATCTTCCATCATCGTATAAATAATGTAAACACAAATATGAAACATGTGGCAGCATCAATCTGATGTCTGCTCTATAGAAATTCGAATCTCTTCAGAATTCAGATAACAATATGACAGTGGAGACTAGGATGGAAGAGTACTGATAAAGTTGGTAGTAGAGCGTCAAACTCACAGCAGAGGTCTGAAAAGCAACGACCGAGAGGAAGTCATCTGAGGTTTTCCTGGGAAAGGGAAGGCTAGGCGAGGAGTTGCGCAGGCCTGAGAATTCTCCAAAACCCTTTCCATTTGCCTAAAAGAGAAAAGAAACATTGATTTGAGCATCACTTCAGCGCAAAGACAGATTAGTAAAAGGGGGGGAGTAACACGTAGAACTAATATGACGGGCTGCAATGGAGTACCTGAAGGGTTGGTTTGGCTACAGAAACAGTAGCCGAAGCCATTATGGTTGTGGAGGAAGCTGCTCAAGCAGAAAAGCTAGCACTGGTAGCAAAGACAGAAAGACAGACAGAAACCTGGCAGAGTTTTTAGTTTGATTAAGTAGAAGTGTAATTCGTGGATGACTGAAACGAGAGGATGAGATTACGGATAGCCTCTCGTTCAATGTATGGTCGTGGTTTGAGCTTTTGGGGTTTGTGTCTCTCCATTCATCCCCTGCATAGCTTTCCATTTCCTATCATACGACTCCCTAATTTCTTCCACCTGTTT